GCTGATTGGGTGTCACTTACTTAACATCGGAAATGAAGCCATCCGGTGTGCCTGTTACTGTCATCTTCAGATCAAAGGTTAAAAGCAGAACTAAAGATCTCCTTTTACTCACATTTACCTTTTAACCACAGATGTTTCTCTACAGATCTTTCCACTCTCATCCTCAGCACAATGATTCAGCCTTGGGTTTAACTCACAAATGAAGGACCATGAATAGTATTATTAGCTATGTTCTGTACAGGCAGTGCTGAAGGGAAAGGGTTTGAACGCTTCCTCACTCACCTCTGGAGAACATCTAGCCTCCCTAGCATATTATGTTAAGAGCTTTTACAGTTCCTCTGTTACATGTTGGACAGTTAGCATTTGCTGTACACCAAGCTTTGCAAGTATAAAGCATAATCTTAGTATTAGTAATACCATCCTCAAAAAACAACTAAGAGCAATTAGCCTGAAAAAAAGAAAAAAGAGTACCAGCTACCTCCTGAAGTAAAGCTGACTGGTGCAAGTTCTGTATGGAGACAGAGCTTTGCAAAACATCTAAGAGATGCATTTACTATATATCAAGTCACAAAGTCAAATTTTAAGTAAGCCCATGTGATCTGCAAAATATTTGCCAAATAATGCAGCTTTCAGGATCTCAGCACTCACTAGTAGAGTGCACACATAGAGGACTGGGACAAGATGGTCCCATGGCTAAAATAAAGTCCATAATCAACCCTAAGATAGAAACACATCTACATTTATGGTAAGGTTATAGTGATTGGCTGTAGGAGCAACCAGGCATCCAGCCAATTTGCTTTTCCAGTCTAAGGAAATGCTCAGTTTGTTTGAAAAATGACTTTTTTTTTCCTGCTGTGAAGAATGCATTGACGTCATCAAACTGGGTCTGTTGAACAAAAGCATGGATCCAGGGCTGCGTCAAGAAGTTGAATTACAAGAAAAAGGACACACATCTGTTTTAGATTTCTTTTACAGTGACGACTATTCCCAATTCTCCTTTATCACCTTCTGCAGATGAGGACTGCTAGACAGGACAAGTGACTTGATACAAGTTTCAGTTTCCGCTCTGTTTTATTCCACTCTGGTTTGTTGTGTTTCCTCTCTGTTTAGTTGCTAGTGTGGGATTTTTTTTAGATAAACACTAGCATCTATGGCTCCACAGGCCTGTGTATCAGATCACTATTACTTCTAGTAGGAACATGCTGATGCCAGAACTCCCCAGTCTGATTTGATGTAACACCATGCAGCACCCTCACAAGAAAAAACAAAACACAGGGCATTCATAAACCTCTCCGATCACACACTGCTTTCCCATTTCTATGCTGTTGTATCAGCTTCTCCACCTGCAGAATGGGGTGTTTGGGCCAATACAGTGCTTTGCTACCACATCATCTGACCTTTCAGTATACCACTAACCCAGGTGATTAGAAGAACCTCAAATTTTCAGAATCTGGCCATATCACACTGCAACAAAATAGCAAATAGTTACAGTGGTTACAGATCATTTCTGGTCCGCAAGACCATAGACCAAAGGGTGCAGCTGGTAGGTGGAGCAAGGTCACCATTTTAGTGTTTCACAGAAGATTTGGAAAGCAAAGGGCAAAGCATTCCACCATAAAACTGTACTCCGTAAGAGCTGATGATTTATGGACTGATGCCATTCCATCATTTCCCAATAGGGTTATCTGATGTTTGTGACAAGAGCCACAGAATTGAACATTTCTGAACCAAGGATGAAGGAGATGCAATACAGCTGCATGAGTAATGGATTACTCAGTCCAGTACTTGAACCAGAAGTCAAAATTAGGTTGTTCTGAGCATACATGAGGGAAGGAAGAGGCAAAACAGAAAAGCAAAATAAAACAAAATGCACACAGAAAGTGAAACAAAATTGCTCTACTTTGGGCCTGATTATTTAGTGTTTGAGCCTGATCTCCCTTCCCTTAAGGTTATTTACAAAACATGAATTACATAACAAAATGTTTAATTTTAGGTGTCTTCAAAACATATATTCTGTGGTATCTCCTATTTTCCCCCCTTTTCAGCCAAATCAAGTTGCCCAAATACAACAGTAATGTCCCCTAATCCACATTTTAAGGCAAACTTACTATCTACTAAAAGACAGGGGAATAAGTCAACATATACAAGACAAGCAAATTCAAAGCTAACAGGAAGACAATTGTAGTAAAGAGTTCATAATTATTCTCAAATTCAACAGCTCCTACATTTATTATATTAATGTATCCCAGTATAAGTCTTCTGTGCAACAATAATCTTCGAATGTGTATTGTACATCAAAGGAAAATTCAAGTTTGACGGAACTACTTTGGTTAAGTTACACTACATTAATCTAATTGCCCAATCTTAGTACAAAAGAACTGCTAAATAATTACCAATATGCCAAAACAAATCTAAACCTAGTATTGAAAAAAAAAAAAAAAAACAACCAACAGTATATTTAAGTTTAAAAAATCTGTAATGATTTAACAAATAAAGTAGTAGAAAGCAAGTCAGATCTTATGCTTTTTCACCCCCTGTTATTTTCCCTCTGGAATACAAATATGGATTCAACATTTTGAGATGAGACCTATACAATGAACAGGCCTCCTTGACAAATTTTTCTTCACCTGGAGAGACAGAAATTTGGCAATTCGTAAGGTCGTAATACCCTGATGGAGTCAGTTTCTCTAAGCCCAAGTAGGCTTCTGAAAAGGAAATAAAAGGTTTGATGCCAGTTAAGTCATGAACACAGATTCCAGCTCAGCAACTCTCGAAGCCAGAACACTGTGGTTGTGTGTGTCCAAAATTATTCCGCAGGTGTTTTTGCAGCTATCTTGAACAGAATTTCCTATGACCAGTGCACATACATGGACTTAGAACAAAAATAACAAGGGGAAAACAAACAAACAAAACAAAAAAACACAACAAAAAAACACATAGAAAAATGAAAACAGCACAGTATATAAATCAAAAACTTCACTTTAATTCCAAAACCTTACATTTTTAAGGGTGGAATTGCAAAGGGACTAAAAAGTCAGTCTCCGGTGTTAACCCTTATGGAGTTTGATCCCGTCACAATCTGATCTCTCTTTGCACGTTAAGAAAGGTGCAAGGCCATCTGCTGGTAGGAAAAATAGTGCAGCGTCTTGTACCGCTTAGCACTACTCAACTGACACCTGAATTAAGCTTTATATGAAAGGTGAGACAAGAAAATAGTCAAGGCTGCCACTTCTACAAGCCCAAAAAATCTGTTGCAGCCCAAGGAATAGTGCAAAGATGAAAACACTGCCCTTACAGTCCTCACTGATACCAACTCAGGTTACCCAAACAACAGACAAAAAATCCTCCAAACATTGCTGTCTCTTGGTTTGTATCCATTATATATGTATAAAAAATCCACCCAAATAGCTGTAGTTATTAACTACATGAGGTATGACTCCAAGTCCTATGCAGACACTATTGTTTTGACAAGAAACTGGTGGCCTCTCAATGTCTCTCAAAGCTCCTTATCAAGACAAAAACACTCCACCGCAAAACAGATATATGCATGCAGTCGTCACACCTCAGGGGGGCAGGGAGGAGTGTAAACCACATGCCCTAATAGATGTTAGCTACATTAGTGGAAGATAATCGGACAGTTAGGGCAAGAAGCACACGGAGGAGTTACTGAATGCTCATCGATGGCTGCTGAGGGCCCAGTCACATCAGGTTTTGTTTTTAGGACAAACCACAATCCCCCAAGTGATGAATTTGGAAACAACTCTACTGAGCTTTCTTCCGCAGCAGCCATCTAGATCTGGACAAAGTTGCTTGCAGTCCCTACTCTGCCCCTACCCGCACGCAAATTTCCGCTATAATTAACAGCCTCGATTACACACCGATTTGGCTTTTCCCAGTAGGAATTAGAGACATGTAACCCAGACACTGAGCCCAAGAGAGGTGCTTCTTGTTCATCACACTCTATACTGCCAATGGGAAGGCAAAAGTTGATTGTTAAAGGTTAGTCCAGAGGCAGCATCTCTACAAATGTGTCAGCAGTACATTTCGCTTTATCCGGAAGTGGTTAAAAAGCCTGAAATATTTAGAACGGCAGCTATTTTTTTGATGTTATGAGCCCAGCTTATCTATATGGCAGCTAAGAGCAATACCAGCAGAAAATCTGAAGGGTTTCTGAAAATCTGAGTCATAGACACTGAAAAACGGTGTTTAAAATGAAAACGCCAGCTCAATTGCAACCATAGTCTTTCCAAGGCAATGGCATAATGTCAAAACCCGAAAGACCAAAACACATCAGTAACTGACACCATCATGCTATTTGTAACACTATGAAGGAGGCCAGACTATCATTTCAAACCACTGAAAGCTTGCAGGAAATACACATGGATATATACTGGAAATAGCTACAAAATAGAAGCACAGCCTTGAGCAACCCTTTCAATAGGACAGCAAAATGCAGTCCCTCCTTCTGCCCTGAATTTAGACTTTTCTGAATGACTGCTCCACTCCTATGGATTCAGGACTCCCTGCCCCAGGTCCATCCTTCCCACTATTGCAAAACTAGAGCTTGTGCCCTTAGCGCAGAGGCAATCGCTCTACCCAGCAACTGAAGCACAGGAAGAAAACACCTCACGACCAGCCCAAAGCCTGTTGGCATTTTACTTTGTGACCTCAGGGTCGTGCCTGGCATTCACAAGCTGCCAAGAGGGCGCACCCGACCTCATACAGCCCAAACACCATCCCCGTGGGGAGCGTGGCGCCCACGACTCCCCGAAGGGGCCAGCGTGCCCTTGGCTCCCATTCACAGAGGGGCAGCTCAGCGCAGAGAGCCGGCGGCTGCCCTCGGGCAGAACTGCGGGGTCAAGGGGGGGGGGGGCCGAAGCCCCTGCCCGGGGCCGGCCCCTCCGCGCCACCCGTGGCCGGGCCGGGGGGCGGACCCGCGCCGTGTTTACCAACATGGGAGGAGCCGGGCGTGGGCAGGGCGCAAGCGGGAGGGAGCCCGTTCCGTGCTGGGACGGGTCGGTTTCACTTTGCTGGAGGGTGCGGGATAGCGCTGGGCGGCGGAATGGTCCGGGGGCTCCTTCCCCAGCTCCTCGTAAGTATCTGCCCGAGCGGGTGAGCGGGGCGGGCGGCGGGGCCAGCCCCGGCCGGGGCGCTGCCGGCTGGCTCTCTCTCTGATCGCCCCCGGCGCTCCAAACTGGCTTTCGAGATTTCGGCTAATTCATTCAAGCGGGTTTTTGTTTGTTTGTTTTTTTTTTTTGTTTTGTTTTTTTTTTTTTTTGTTTGTTTGCTTGTTTGTTTGTTTTCCATGCCTTTAAAAAACCCACCTTCAAGTTCAGCCACTTTATGGTTTTACAGTCACTTCTTAGGGTGCCACGTGAAGAGAAGTGGGAGTTGTGGAAAAGCGGAGAGAAAGAAAAGAGGGATGGCTGCAGGCAGCTGTCAGGGACACGGGGCCATGTGCCATAGCTGCGGGGGACCCCAGGGACAGCTGACATTGGCCTCGGTCCACAGCCACCGGGACCTGGCCAGAGACACTGGAGAGGCAGGTGCAGTATCCAGGTCCAGCCCTGACCTCACGGTTAGACCTATGGCTGGGCATCTTCCCTGGGCAAAGACCGTGTTTGTGAAAAGCTGACTTGTCATGGATCCCTGAGGTGCAGTGCAAAGTGATCTGGTAAAGCAACAAAACTTCTACCTGTGGCAGAGGAGTTTTGAACCACTACTGACAGTGACCCAGGAAAAGCTAGAGAAATAGCCCAAGTCCAGTAGCATGAAGTACAGCATTTACTGGAAGTAGGGAGGCAGGGCCTTCCTTTCTTGCCTTAATCATCCCCTGGGCACAGTGTAAGTCTCTGAAGCTTCAGAGCTTAGGTCACGTGTCTAACAGTCATCAGTAAAGTTACCTTCACAAACACTCATTTGGAAGGGCTACTGTCGACAAGGAAGATAAGGAAGTGTTGCAGTGTCTGCAGCACAGGGGTCTCCACTGGTGCAGGTACATTAGGCCTAAGAGCTGTAGTGGCAGCAAGTTCCTGGGGGGAGAGAGACCTGGGCACCCGCGGGGGCAGACGCCCTGGCTCTGCCTGCGCCCCGGCAGCCCCGCTCCGAGAACCCAGAGGGAAGATAGCAGGGACCAGGCAGGTCGCTGTAAGCCCCGCTGCGCAGCAGAGCCGTGACCTGCCTGGAAACATAGGTGCAATATACATTGCTTCCCCAACCCCAGTTCTCACTTATTTCAGAGAGAACTCACTGGAGTTCACATTCAAAAAAATCTCTTCACAGTGTGGTTACGTTGCTAATGAATGCAGTTTGCTTTGGGGTTTGGCAGGTTAAAATCAGGTGTTATGGTAAAAACTACGCAAACTCTGATCTGATTTATTACATAACAGGTAGTAAACTATTTAAAGTGATTAAGAAGGTTATATCCATGTCCCTCCACAAAGCATCAGAGCATAGTTAAATAAAAAGAAGCATTTTCATCTGCTGACAGAAGTGTGTATTATATATTCCTGTAAAAAACTGGCAGAAACATCAGTCTAGCTCAGTATCTTGGAGCTATTCAGAATATAAATTAAGATTAAAAAATACTTTCTCTTATTGCACTGCTCTCAGAAAATAAATATAACTATTCTTATTTTGCATTTGCTTCCAGATTTCAGTACCCCTTAGAAAGACTTTAGCACTTCCACATCCTTTACATCTTTAAAAAATTATGGGATTTTATTAACATGTTGTTCCACTACTTATAAATCAGTAAACCTGGGCAGCATTTGATATACTAATTTGATTAAACCAGAACATGGATGCAGTTTGTTGAATTGAGACCTCAATTTTGCAAGGAGCTCCATGTTGCAGTAAAGTATAAGCAGCTGCAGGGATAGTCATGCAAAATAGCAATGGCCTACGTAGTTAGAAAACACCTAACTTTATCCTGTAAAACAAGCTGCAAAGCTACATACCATTTAGAGACACGCTTTAAAGGAATAGGCCATGTTAAAAGAGAGAAGTGTTATCTAAATATTTTGTAATTATCTGATATGACTACAGAGCAGGCAGTTTTCTGAAAATCTGAGACATACCTTTGAAAACAGGACTCTTACATTACTGCACTGACCCTTCTTTCTCATCACCTAGACAACTAATGCACACATTTAAATGTATACATATAAACAGCCATAACGTCACGGGATGACCCAAGACTAAAGTGAAAAGTATAAGGGCCCCAATTTTGGAAAAATGTGTCTGCTCCTATTTTCACAGTTAACTGCCTTTATCTTTGAGGCAACTTACTGAACAGAGGAAGTGCCAACAAGAAAACTATTGTGTTACAAAAGGAAAAGGAAGAAGAATTGCTGAATTTCTGCGCTGTCCAGCTCCTACTCATCCTTAGCCACAATATCAAAGTGAGGTGGGAGCTGTTAATATTGCTCCAACTCTCTCAAACTGTGTAGTATTAATTAGGTGTTTACTAGTATAGTACTCCTAACAATGGAAATTAAAAAAAAAAAAAAAAAAAAACCAAAATGACCAACCATTCAACCCCTGCCCACCCTCCAATATATTGCTATAATTTGCATGTCAGTCAGCCGAGATGTGAAATAGCAATCAATTGAATATGGACAGCGGCTATTTTAAGACACTGGACAGTAACTGAGGCTTCTTACTCTCACAGGTACAGAACATATGCATCTCACATGAAATTTTAGAAGCTCAGGATGCTTCTAGTTGTGAGGAAATACCAACTCCCATTGCTGGGTTTCAGAATATGGAACTGGATTCTTTTTGTCCTTCTCAAACGATTTTAGAACACAAAATAATATTTTTAGTGGTTATTTCGGTACTAACTATAAACTTCTACTTTGGTGGCACAAAAAAAAAAAGAGATGGGAAAAATGGTACTGGAGATAGTGGAAGCAGAAATTACTTAACATAGTAAAAGAATTGGAATAGAGAATCCTCTTACAAACAGTGTGAAATTACCCTTTGAAAAAAACATATTGTAAGGGTTAATGCAAGAGAGATTAATTACATAGAAAACTATTAAAATGGAGCTAATTCTAGCAACTGTGTCAAAAGTATCAGAAGCAAATTAAAACTCAGAAAATTAGTTAGTTTTTCTCAGCTCCCACTAGGGAAAAAAAAAGCAAGAAAAATCCCCTTGTCCCCCTTTTTTTAACACTCAGAAAGCCCCTGATGAGCTCATGCATGTTGCCCCATGTAACAAATGTGGACTAGAAAAAAAAAGGCAACCAAGTTCTGAAGGCATCAGCCTTTTCATCCAAATGCATCTATGGATTACAGATGGGAGAAGCAGTTTGCTAAAAAGAAAATGTATTATAACGATAACAAGAGAAAGCAGTAACATTTTTTTTTCTCAAGGTTAAAAGCTGTAAAGCTTTAAAAAGTCCTGTATGAAAATAACATGTTCACACACTTCCAAAGCTGAGATTACATCCCCATAAAGTAGGTCTGCTGAAACTTTTCAGTTGAAGGAAGTTGACCTGTTATGAAGAATACTCTGATACAGGAAGAACTGGAGGCCTGAGAATCCCAAAATGACACGAGTTTTCAAAGATACAAAAGATCCTGTCACTCTGCCCTAGGAACACAATGAAAACAGGTTTTATAGGTCTCCTTAGCAGATGCCTGTTGGTGAAAGCATTTTGGAGGACTCGGTAGGAGTGAAGGAGGGGGACAAAGTAGAAAGCTCTCTTAAATGCCCGGGCAATTCAAAAGGAGAGAAACAAAAAAAAAAAAAAATGGTCTCGTTATAATTTTTATGGATTCTGCTAAGGTCAGATATCCCCAGTTGATTGATTTTATTCCCATTGACTGCTTAGTTCTATCTAAGTCTTCAGTTTAGACATGACAACCATTTTTTAGGTTAAGAAGAGAAAGGTAGAAAATAGCATCTGTGAGTCATTTTAGGCTGAAAATGCGCAGCCGCTGTTTGAATGTACACATCATAAAAAAGCACCTATCACCCCTGCCTCTGTAAAAGCCCCTAAAGCGCTTCCTTGTTGCTATGAGCGTTTGCTACTTAGTGACAATAAAGAAAGCAATTAAGGTGTGCACAGGAAGCTAAATGACTATTGACTTTTTTTTTTTTTCTCCTAAAAGACACACCGAAATTTTTATATAGGAAATGTATCGCTATTAAGCAGGGGGAGAGAAGTTTGAAAATTAGTGTTGCTTTGAAAAAAAATCTCCAGAGTTTTCTCATTATTCCTCGTACAGGAAGGAGGTGTAAGATGTCCCTGCAAGCAGAACCAATGTAGGTGTTCGGTGCTGCTTAAGTGTCAAATTCTGAGAAGTGATCCCCACTTCTTGTAAGTGTACCAGGAAGTTCATCTCCATGAGTGACAGCAGAGGGCTTCCATTAAAAAGTATTACATTTCTGTCCCCCCTCACTGTATCAGCATAGCTCGTTTGTATGAAAGCATAAGCAAGAAGCAGAGAGGTTTGTTCACGTGAGGGAAGGCTGTGTCTGTGCACACACTGTGATTGCAGGTGCTCAGTAACACACATACAGACACAAATCAGCTGTTTTACTGATACTAATAATTTAGAAAGATGTTTTCTTCTTTCATTATATCCCATTTTCTGCACAACTCTGGCCATTTTCTTTGTGTGTGCTCTAGGCTTGGCCGGTGCCGTTCAGTTTCTTTGCTGTGCCCAGGTACTGTTCCTGGGCGCATTAGGGCCATGATAATCTTCACCCTCCCTCTTCTCTTTACTGTTGCAGGATCTTTCCTCTCCCCCCCCCCCCAAAAAAAAAAAAAAAAAAAAAAAAGGCTTCTCTGGTCTAAAAAGGGGATATTCAGGTGCCAAAAGCAGGGTGCCTGCCTGGGGCTGTGAGGGCAGGCAAGGAGGAGGGAGCTAGGCCCTCACAGCAGGACAGACACCAGCGAGCTGGGACAGGTTCTTCAGAGCATCAGCTGTGGCATTGGAGAGCAGCAGGGAGCAGGCGGGGCCGGTGCCGCACTCCTCCCTCGCACTGCTGAGTCACCACTTCTCCATCAGCGTGGGGAGACAGAGAAGTCATTTCCCCACCAACTTCCTCACGCCACAAGTGGTGTTTGCGTTGGCCTCCTATCCGCTGCAGCCACACCACCTGCACCTTCGGGGCTGGAAGCCACCTGGCACCATCGGCTTTCCTGGGGCAGCCAAAGATCCATCGTGCTGCCTCAGGGTCTCCCTGCCCCAGCACCCCCCTCACTTCTGGACCCTTCTGCTGGCCAAGACCCCATGGCACGCAGGCTGGTCAGGGCATCACGATCATCCAGCTGCAAGAGCCAGGGCAACACATGTCCTCCCAGTGTTGTCCTGTGAGCATCCCCTCCCTCGGCCCAGTCTGACACGTGGCAGAGGAGCAACAGAGGAACAATAGAGGTGCAGGGCTTTACCCTGCTTCACGGAAAGCCAAACCAGACTGGACATATGTCCCTGACTGCATTTTAGTAATTACTTTTTAATCTGACTTTCTATCCCACTTTTCAGTAAGATGGTTCTCCCCAGCAAAAGGAAAACAAATCACACTAATTTCACACATCCATTTGACAGCTTCTGTTAAGGCTCTATAGTGACTTAATAGTATTTCTAGAAGGGAGTCTAGTTCTCCTGCCAACAAGCATTACATAGCTTCACTATACAGATATCTCCTAGTTAGTCCATGCAAAGTATATACAGAATTCTCCACAAACCACTGCCAAGAGGAAGGCAAACTATAGCAGATCTATCCTTCTCATTTTCCCACCTTACTCCCAAAATAGAAAAAAAAAAAAAAAAAGAATGGTTTGGCCTCTGGTCCACAGTGCTTTCTTATTATCATATGAAAAGAGGCAGGACAGCAATGGCTAGTAAAGTCACTACTGACTAGTAACAGGAAAAAAATAAAAAACACCAAGCATTATGCAATTTAACTTGACAGTGCATTCAAAGAAATGGGTTAGGGTGAAAATTAATTTGAAAGGGGAGTGATACTTCTTTCAGGAATATATAGGCATCATCTACTAAGGAGAAAAATAGTTGAATTGGAAAACAAAGCAAAACCAAGATCATTTTAGAAATTGAGTATTTTTGGCCAAGATTAAAACTTTTTTTTTTTTTTTTTTTCTTTCAGAGATGCATTAACACTGTTCAGTTTGCAAGCAACAATAGGGTGGCAAGAAATTAAGAAAGGTATCATTTGAATTAAGGAAGTTCTGTATGGAAGATTATTATTACTGGCTAAGAAAGGGCAGATATAGGCACAGTGATCTGAGGCAGAGAAAGCTCTTCAAGAAAACAATGGGAGTTCCTTTCTTTTACACTGTAATTAGGCACATGAGGTCACCTGCTACAACTCAGAAGTATGGACCTGTTCTTAAGTATGAATGTTCAGATCAGTATCTGTAGTGGTAGGATTGATAGCATTAAATCTAATGTGTCCTTATTGTCCTCTGAAGTAATGAACAACTTTAATAAGGAGGTGATTATCAATATGTTTAGCAATAGAGTAAGAGTACTGATGTAACTCTGTGCTAGTAGTAAAACACCTACAGTTCTCGACAGCTTTTTGGTATAACTTGCTGTTCTTCTCTCCTAGGTGGTTTGCTTCATTATTGAAACACAATGCAAAAATAATACTGAAGCTCTAACACACATAACATACAATAAATTAATTACAAGAAGGATTGTTGCTAAGAGAGAAATTAAGTGTAACCTGGATGAATACAATTTAGGTGCTCAGTGTTGCAAGAAATGTAAACGTGGTGAGTATCATTAAGACAGTGTTGAAAAGCAACAGGAGTGGAAACCACAACACGCACAATTTGCTTTCTGCTGGGATAGCTAAACAGCGTGCTGTGGTTTCCTGGATGCAATGCTTCAATCTAGCTGTATCTAACTATTACAGAATATCAGACACTTCAAAAGTATTTCTTGAGCTCAGTGCACCAATAACTTTTCACTACAGATAGTAGTCCTCACATAACATGCTTGTCACAAGAGGGCTAAGAATTACATACACATCTTTGAAAGAGATTTAAAAAGTGCAAGCACAGGCTTTTGCCTACGAGACTCCATCTATTCATGGGTTTTCCAGCTTTGCGTGCACAGTTTTGTTTGGGGTGTTCTTCAGTCCTAAATTAGAGAAAGAGGAGGGATAATCAGATCTTATGAATACTACACTCCTGAAGAGCAGATACATATGTGTAAAGAATATAGACTCTGTCAATATTTCTAAACCAGGAAGTATTAGGGATTAAAAAGAAAGTGTGATGTAAGACTTAGAGCTGATGGCTTCCATCCAAAGGCATTGCAAAACTTAATTCTTGTTTTTCTGTCTCTACAGGTTTTGTTAAAAGTATCAATTGCCCAACAGATATCAATGCACACTGCAGACCATGTGAAGATGGCAAGGAGTACATAGATCATAACAATGATTTGAATAAGTGTTTGAGATGCTATTTATGTGACAGCATATTCGGTATGTCTATAGAAATAGCAACTCTAGCAATGACTCTTTTTTTTGATACAGGATTTGACTTAAAAGTCTCTACAATCTTTGAACAGTTGCTAGCACACAGATTAAAATGTTTTAGTGGTAGTACATGAAGGAATTTATGACAAAGTCATAAGTTTATCCTCCAGTTCCCTTTCATCAAGCACAAAGTAGGAAGAACAAACTACATTGGTCCGTTATTTCTCCTTATATCTATCCTTGCTCAGCCAGAGCAGTCCTTGCAAAACAGACCCTATACAAACTGGTTAGAGTCAGGGAAGAAAAGCTCTCTCTTTGCCCTCTGTTTAAAAAAAGAGGTGTTATAAGCAGCAAGGATGTGAGAATTCCCAATGGTTTCTTTTGTAGTGTTTCATGTAATTAATAATATTATTTAAAATTGGCGGAGCTGATAGAGTAATGTATTTTATATATTCAAGATGGTGTGTGTGATACAGGGTCAAATTATGAGATGGAGGCATGCCCTGCTGGGTCAGAACAGTGGTCCACCTACCCCAGTATTCTGCATTCAGCAGTGGAGGCAAGAAGTGCTATGTAGAGAAAAGAAGAAAAAAAATGTCTACTTTCTGTTGTCTGTTCCCTGCAAAGTCTACCAGCATCCACTGCTTGTAGGAAAGGATGTTAGAAGGTCCATCCCTACCTTTTTAGTAGGGGTTTTAGTATCTATTTATGAGCCCTTTGTGCATGAACCTGCGACAGGACACCAGGTTCCACAAATTCACTACCTGTTGCATAAATACCCATCACAGATTTTTTTTTTTTTTTCTTAAATCTGTTAAATAGATATCCTACCAGTTCTACCAGGTGTCCTGTAGTTCTAGTATACTTGGATTTAAGGAATGATAGCTCTGCATTCCTCATATCCAAAATCGAGTTTAGTGAGCAGAGACAGCTCTTAGCTCCAATATGGTTGTAGTCAGATCAAATATTGACCTTTAGTGCTTCCGCCTTCTTGTAACACCTCCATATGCGTAGAAATTTTTCCTCTCACTAGCTACTACAATAAGCACTTTTGGATGGGTAATGAAATTAAGTACAGCAGAACAATTCAGTATTTTGTATAGTGCCAGAAAGGAAACTATTAGTTAAGCTGAAGGGGGGAAAAAAGGATAATGGGATGACTTGTCACATTATTCCATGGGCAATAATGTAGTTGAAGAGAAGTCAGTAGAAAACATGAGGCAGGAAGAAAATTACCACTGAAGTTCCATGAGAACCATTCTTAGGATCATTCATGTTTGATATTTCCGTAAGTGGCTTCAGCACTGGTTTCACAATAGAGCTTCATCAAATTTTGAAAGATAACATGATTTCCCATTACAGCAGGGCACTGACTGTAATAACTCAAAAGTTCATTCTATTTCTATATGCCTATGAAAATAGCTTTCATAGTAGGTAGATACTTACAGCAATTGTTAATACAGAAATAATTTTTCATAGATGGAGATAGCTTCATCATAAACACTGAGGACAAAATTAATTCACTTGTTTTGATACTTAAGCAGGAAATATGTTAGCTAAAAAGATAGAGTGGAATTCCTGACCACTGGTGGTCCTCAAGAAGAGATAAAACTTGTCTGTCAGGGAGAGTAAAGAACCTGTCTCTGACATCAAGCAGAAGTATGGGCTACGTGATCTTATGACCTTACTTCTGGCTTACTTCTGAATGGGAAAAGGAAGCTGACAACATTTGGTGTTGCCAAATGAGTCCTCTTCTAGCAAGTACTTTATTGTGTGATCAGGTTTTTGAGCTCTTGGCCAGCAGAGGTCTCTGCCATCTCCATATTTCCAGTACTCTGGCAGCAGGGCTCATATGTTCTTACGATTAAGCCTCACCAGTGCCAGCAGTGGTAAAGCTAAAAGCACGTAAGTCTGAGGACAAGAGCTCATGCTTCTAAAGCCTACTTTTTCAAACTAACAAACTTTAAGAAATTTATTTTAGGTTTGGAGGTTGCAAAGAACTGTACACCAGCACAGAACACAGAATGCACCTGTGCAAAGAACCATTTTTGCAATTCTTCTGTGCCATGTAGCCATTGTGATCCATGTACCATGTAAGTTTATGCCTTCATTGTTAAATATGAAATTGTTAGTATTGTATATTATCACACTTTTTTTTCCAGCCAGTTTCAAGACAGAGGCTAAGGTAATATATAACCTGAGGGAAAACATACTAGTTTTCCTATGCACTTAAGCTTGTTGAGCTGACTTAGCTCAACTTGTATGCACACAGGCTTTCCAAAGGCAGGCAGAAAAACTTGTATACATCTAACAAGTCTGTGTATACTTTTCAAAAAATGTAATGAAGTATCTGAGCTTCCCTGTTGTCTTCCTGTGATCTACTGTTACACCTAGAAAATAGTTTCCAAACTTTTTTCCACTACCATACCTTTACATACCATTTTCATACTTATTAACTTCCAAACTCCAGCATCTTAATATATGAAATATTTAGCTGATAAAGTGTTAGAAGATTTTTATTTTCTCTCTTGACAGAGTTTATAAAGAGATAAACAAATCCCATAATTTTTGTTCATCTTTTCTACAGATGTGAAAGTGGAGTAATTGAAAAACAATGTACTTCAACTTCAGACACTGTGTGTGGAATGAAAGGTACCATTTAAAAACTTAGAATGGTCTAGCATCTTTTTGTATTTTGAGAGGCTATTGTAACTGTATGGTTTTACACAATGACCCACAGTGATTCCTGGCAGTTAAGGGCATTGTATCTACTCAGCCCTGTATTGACCTGTGGAACATGATTGATCTTTTCCCTTGATCATTGTGCAGGTGTAGGAGATATTAGTCCTTTTTAGGGGTGACTTCTGATAGGTAAGACTTTAACAAAGAGGTAGTTTCTGCCATTAGGGGACAACATAAGGGTTTTTATAATCTGATGCAATCCTGTTTAAAATTTAGAGTGTGTTGCTGTATTGCATTTCTTGACTTAATTTTCATGTAACGTTTCTACTGTTCCAACAGAAACACGCGTGCCAGAGTGGACCATTGCTTTGATAACTGTGTTAGTAGTACTAGCAATAGCTGGAGCAATAATCTATTGTAAGTGATTCCCTATTCCTATCATACTCTGAATAAGATATCCAGCTGCTTGCTCAGATGATATTTTATATTCTTAATGTCCAGAGGAGAGATATAATCTGCCCTGGATTTTAAAAATGCTTTTTTGTTTCAGACAAGAAAAGACAGAAGGGTCTTACTAGCAAGGAGAAGCCAGGTGAAGTAGTCCCCAAACCAGGGATTTCTTATGTAAGTATTGTTGCTTAGATCACAAAAAACTCAGCTTCATCCAAGGAACTTTGTTCCATTTAAATTATACTGGGACCCCCCAAGCATGCCTCTTTCTAGGACATTAATGAGGTAAATTTCACCACGAGGACACTTTGGGGAGAAGTAAGAGAAACCCTGCATTATTTCTTCAGGATTTATTGACATGCTTCCTAAGTTACATGACCAAGATCAAAACTTCATAAATCATCAGGCCTCTGCTGACCCAGGGTACCTGTCCGCATGCATACTTTTAGGCAATAGCAATTGTAAGGTGTTTCCCAAAGCTTATCCAAGTCAAAAGAGATCTGTCTGTCTAATCTGATTCCCTCAAAATAGGGGAATAGTGCAGAAAACTAAAATAAATTTACAGAAATCAAATGTCATAAAACGTGTTTATCGTCTTATATAAGGTTGGTGTTGTACAAAACTTGTTTCTACTCATTTGTCTCTTGCTTCTCTTTTCAGGACAATGTACCTCTCATATACACAGGTAAGAGACAAGTAATTTCTCAAAATTCAATAGAAGAAAAAAAAAAAAAAAGAAGAGACATGTAAATCCTATACAAAAAAAAGGGTGTTCTTAGTGTAGACTTTGCCACTGCCTAGAGCTGTCATTCTAGCACAACAGTAACCACTCATTAAAGAAATGCTAATTCATACTGTGCTTATTAAGGTATTTAATGGTATCAAAGTTTTGCCTCAGGAGGAATTTCTGTTGTATAAGAAGCAATTACTAATTGACAACAGGTGATTTTCTGTTCTGCATGTGACATAGACACTAGGAGGCAGCAAACTGGATTTCTAGAATCATCAATAATTATAATAATGGCATAGTCCCACACTCAGCAGTGGGATCACAGAAACAGAAACCTACTGTATGTTCAAGGGCAAATCCACAGTAGTAAAACACAATAGGAAAATAACATAAGCTGCAAGGCCGTATCACAACAAAAGACCTGTCCTGCTCCAGGACCTTTCCAAACGCTATTTTTGGCAAAACAGGTACATGCAGGATGACTGGACTTTACTGATAGAGAAAAACAGAATAGGTTACAGAGTGAACTGAGATTCTATTTCAAGTGGTAGAAAGCAATATGGATGCAACCCTAAATATCTGCATTACCTAGCATCTGGTAGGAACATGTAAAAGCAGACATGCTATATATTGTAAAAAAATCACATGTAAAACATACTGAGTCATGAGTACCTGAAACTTAGTATGTTTTGGATAGGAAAAGTATAAACTCTGAGTGCAAGTAATAAAAAATGGTAAGATGTAAGTGCTAAGAGCATTTATTTCATTATATGTTTCTAGATGTTGACCTGAGCAGCCATGTAGCTGGTATTGTGGAGGAGATGACGCTCCAAGAAGTCAAGACATTTGTTCGTAATCACAAAGTACCAGAACCCATCATAGATCAAACTGTTCGGGATTATTTTAGTGATACATCTGAACAGAAGATTAAGCTGTTTCAAGTCTGGTATCAAAGACATGGAATAAAAGGAGCCTATGGAACCCTAATAAGCAGTTTGAGAGAATTTAAGATGTGCACTGCAGCTGATAAAATTGAGGAAAAACTGAAGGCAGCTGTTTCCATCTGTCAGGAAGAGGGACAGTCTTACAATGATGACACTGAGCAAAGCCAAACCTGCACTCAGGAAGGTAGAAACTCCTACAATGATAGTGCTGACCTAAGTAAAACCTGTTTTGGTAGTTTGGAAGAGACATAGGACAGAGTCATTTGAAAATTATTTCCGACTGAATTAGTATTTTTCCAATAATATAAATAACAAAGCTTTTTAATGCAATTTTAATTGGAAGTTCTGATTAATTCAAGTAAGTTATTATATGAACAAGGAATAATTACAATTTTTATAGAATATCTTTCCTTTAAAAAAAGTTTTAGCTTCTTTTCGGTTGTTAAGATCTGGAAGGAGAAGTTTTATGGCTTATTTAACAAAAAGCTACAATATAAGAGTCCAGCTACAGGATTCACTACCACAAGAAAGAAGAAGTAGTCATTTGAAAAAAAAGTTTAGTCTAAATGTATGGTCCCACATTACTTAATTGATGTGATGTTTTGCTTACATTAAAATGGTGGGATGCTGAATTTTTCAAACTGAAAACTCTGGTGTTAAGAGTCTACGAAGCATACTAGGAAGAATACCTGAACAGAAAAAAAATGTATAATGTACACCTGATTAATTTTGAATATAAGTCTTGCTGTGTAATTAAATTCTACTCCGTTGTAAATGAGATTTTTCCCTTGTATAAAAGTACCTGTTTGTGTATTTATGTGTGTATACATGTGCGAGTTTTCTATGAAAAAGCTCCTAGTGCTAAGTAAAAATTATTTCCCTTGTCTTCTGCAATGATTGCAAGCCTTTTCTAATGTTAAAACCCTTTAAAGAAGCAGGAGCTGAAGCAGCACAGCAGAACCATGATTTTTGGAAGGCAACCTGCAGAAACTATGAAGTCTCCTTAAGCAAGTGCACAATGCTAGCTTTTCTAATGCAGGAACTGATACAACAAAAACATCACTGTCATTAAAAAAAAAAAACAACAAAAAAAAAAACAAAAACAAAACAAAAAAAAAACCCTACATAACATGCAACTTCAGTTTTTTCCTTCTTATCATGCAACCTATAGCTGTCCTTTTTAGGTTTCCTTTTACTCAGGTTAATAAATCACAAAAAGGGAGATGAATCTCCTGAAAAAAAAAACCCTTACCTTTCTTCCATCACAGAGTGCAGAGGACTTGGCTCCTAAATTCAGAGAACCAATAGTGCTAGCTGCTTTGCAGCGAGGCCTTTCCCAACCACCCGCACACTTACTCAGTCTCACAAAATCTTTCAGCGGAAGAGGTGACCTCACTGGAAAAGTTTGAGTTTTCTAGGTCACACAGTAAGCAGGATGACTTTCTTCTTTGGCTCTGCCATCAGTTCCCTAGAGAGAAGCTCCAGCCAGTGTCAGGAGTCAGCCAAAACTTGAGGCGGCTGCCTGGACTCACTCCCACCTGCCAGGCAGGGTGTGCCCCTGTGTGGGTTTGGGTCCAATTGCTGCCACCTGGCCCCAGGGGCGTGGAAAGGGCTGGGCAGGTCTGGCAGCAGCGTGCCAGGTGCTGACAATCAACCCCCATGCAAGGTCAGGCACCAACATCTGCGTGGGGTTGCTCCAAAAGGTCACGTTGCTGGAAGCGAGGTGCCTGGCAGGGCAGTGCATGGCCCTTGAAAATAGCTAGAAGTCTGTGTATGGTGTTAAGCAGGAACCTGATAGGAAAGTCAGGACTTAGATTACCTTCAAAAACTTTAAGCCTTTCATAGAGTTGACCCATTAAAGGTCTGAAGGACACTGAGCATGTTTTGTTGCCAAGCCCACACCTGGTTTAGGTTGTACAGCTCTTCCCCAGGTCTCAAGCTCCATATAGATGTTAACCACTTGTACCAACCTTCCACTCCACTTTGGAGCCTCCTGCCTCTAACCTTTCTGCATTTTCTCAGTGTCTAATCAAACAGCTTGCTGCTACTGTGTTGCCAAAATCCCCACACTGTGCTCGTTTTCAAAGGAAAACCTTGAGGCTGCTGTAGCTGGATGGTTTAATAGCTGTGCACCACATTTGTACACCTATGGACTGATGAAGGCATAGCATTGTAAAAGTGACTTGTGTCTGTGTTATCTGTGTACAGATCTGACATGCTGCAACAGTATGTTGCTCATTGCCATGTTTTGGCCAGGCTCCACATACATAAGAGAATCGCATGTCTGCCTTTCAGAAAAGCATCACAGCAGTGGTGTGGGCTGTGCCATCTTTCCTAGGTTGTATTTACGTAGAAGCACAGCCAAGGCAGGAAGGAAGGAAAGCTCCATGCTCTGACAAGCCCTGGTAAACAGGCTGCTCCCTGTACCATGTCCCACTCAGGAAGATATAAATGTAGCTTAAAGTTATGTTGGCACATGCTAGACTTGAACTCTGGCTTTTCTTGCCTTCTGGCTTTATCTCTCAAAGTGAGACATCTGGCCACCAGAACCTAAGATTGTCTACCTCTCAGGGATTCAGTGGGTCAGTTAGTGTAATTGAGCTGAACTAGGCAGATTTTAAAATGGGGGCATCAAGCCCCATAAATTTGTGGCAGTGAAATAGAATGAGAAAATTTTCTTTCACCACACTGGAATTCCCCAATCTCAGTATAATGAGAATGGTTTAAAAAAGTCCCTAAGACATATTCTCCTTAGGAGATGTCTTCAAGGGTGAACACAGACTGCCATTAACACTAGTGGTTAGCATACATCATACCTTTTTGTCTTAACTGAAACACTGTGCATCAAATAAGAGGATTGATTATATTGTGCAGTTGGTTTTCCAAAGGAGTGCATGCGTGTCTAAATTACAGTCAGCAGTGCAGTGTAGAGCCATCTGATCAAGTTCAAAGTACCTGGACTAGGGACTGAAAGTGATTTACTTCTACTGACCCACGGAAACACACCCAGCTTTCCACTGCCTCCTGCTTCTGGCCTCATATTCAAACTAGGACTGCACAGGAAAATCATACCAAGCAGGTTATATTAGCACTGTTTCACCTTTCGCTCTCACTTTTCATTCTCAGAAGGAAAGTCCACATAGAGTCTCATGCTGATAAGCAAAACAACTGCCACTGCCTTAGCTGCTCACTGAAATATAGTTCTGGTATCTTTACTCTATGCTTTGCACTTTCCACACTTGCCATGTCCAGCCTCCTTCTCCCAAACAACAAGGCTGTGTCACAATAAGTGTAAAATAATTATTTTCTCAGCTTTATGGAGAAAAAAATAAAAAATGAAAGCAACAGAAATTACTTGGAAAACCAAAACTCTCCTGTTTTATGGAAACCCAGCATCAGAAAAGCAAGTGGAAAGTGAAACAGAAGCTTGCCCAGAGAATGAGTTGACAAGCAGATTACAAAGGGGAAGCTCCCTCTTCAGGAAGCCAAAACTTCACAGAACACTTGCATTTGTTATTTAAATAGTAAACCCAGAACAATTGTTATTTAAAAATAACAACAATAGAAGAACAGGAACATGGAAATAAAAAGCCAGAAAGATGATCTTAATTCAGTCCCCTGCAAATCGAAAGTGATCACATGAGCGAAGAGTCTGTTCACAAATTCCACAGGCTGTTTTGCTGTGCACACCCACCCCATCTGTTCACCCATAGTGCAAACTGTAGAATAGTTCCTGCTGCCCTGCAAGCAAACCAAACACATACGAGAAGACAGAAACAAGATCACTATTACAGTGTGACACCAGAAGAAAGCAGGAGAGGTTCAAGACACCTCCAGTATACAGGATTGCTGCAATATGAAATAAATTATTTTTAAAGTTATCCTGCAGGCTGCCAGTTCTTGAAAAAACATGGCTGAGAAATGAAGTGCTGAGTACAAAAAGTCTGAAATGTTTCTGCACAGATAGCATGACAAGCACATTAAAGTGTGAGAGAGCCGTAGGCTTATTTCCTGTATGGAGGAGAGGAAAGGAAAATAATACAAACGAATTCGTGAGAAGACTAAAAATGTATTGGGAAAAGCCTTGGAGTTAGACAGTTTTCTTGTTTTGAGGGAAGATACAACCTCAGAAGTCACATTCCTCTCTTACTCTTTGTCAATACTTTGATTTTGGACTTGAAAGGAAAGCTCACATTCCTGCTATCCCACTGCTAGCAAGAAGAAAAATGCCCACCATGTGTATCTAGCCTCTAGTACAGAGCTGCGGTTGAGCATTACAGGGGATGTGGGAACAATCACAAAACTTAACGTACAGTCAGTGTTTTCTGCATAACTTTTCGGTGGTTTTAGTTCAAGCTCCTTTCCAAACTGCAAGCAAGACTTTTAAGGCAGACAGTGTGCTAGAGAGCCCTTTCCCATAAACCAGCAACTGTGACAAAGTGCTATTTTCATAGCATGCAATCTAGCAGGGAATCAGCAAAAAATGTCTGTGATGGCAGGGATGCTGAAAAGAGGGTCCTGAACAAACACAGGGGAGGGGTTAGTGATGGAAAGCAAGAGCAAGAGAGAGCCAAAGGTGCAGTCCTTGGAGGGGCAGCACTCAGCCTCCCGCACCCCAGGGGCATGCAGCACACAGAACTCACTGACCCTGCCTCCCATACATCTTCCCACAGTGGTGTCCGTATGACTGGCTGTCCAGAGGAGAGGATAAATATACATGTATGTGTGTCATCGGGATATGAGCAAGAAATGATGAGGCAGAAGTACCCAGTTTCATTTCCTGAATATTTATGCTACAGTCACTATTAGGATGTTCCAGATTATCAGTATCTGAAGATTTACGTTCTCTTTCTTGTTCTTTTCCTAGTCCTTTGTTCATACTGTATGAAGATCCTTCTCCAGGAATATCTCTGGGATAGCTGAAGCTGCAGGGAACATCTTACGACATTCCTTAAACTGCTCTGATGTGTAGTCAGGCCCCTGGCAAGCCAGCCTCTGTCCCTGATGGGGCCAGGGCAGGCTGTGCCTGGCACCTCTGCTCTTCTGGGTGGGACCACAGGTACCACTGCAGATCATGGGGAAGGGCAGCTGTGATCTGGGCTGATCTCAAAGGGTCTTGAGGGTCAAGGTCTAAGACATGAGGACAACACCTATTCCTGTACTTCAGGGGACAGGGGGGCAACTAAGTTTATACCACACAGTCTCCCCTCATTTATCCAAGAATGGATAGTGGTCCTAAATAATTCAGTATTTTTGAGCCTCTCAATCAAATCTCTTCAGAGTTAAATTCCTTTAAATCTGTTTAAACTCTAAGCAACCACCCTGGGTGGTGGTGATGGTTGTTTTTAGGGGAGAAGGAAGGCAACAGCCAGAGCCTGCCTCAGTGTTCACAGAAAGCACGGACCAAGTGCTGCAGACTGTCTTTCCCTGCTCCCGCTCAGCAGGTGGCAGCCTGTGTCCGCGCAGTCCCACGCGTGTCTCCTCTCCTCCCGGTCCCCGTGCACACCCCCGGGCTGGCTTGGCAAGGACGGACAGACTGCCAGAGCTCCCTCCCCGCCGCCTCCCCTGCTCCGCCCTGGGCGCTCCGGCTGGCTCCCTCTCTGGGAGATGAATGAGTCTCACAGGGAAAGGACATTTTGTAAATGAGCTCGCACACGAAGCAAGCAGCAGACTGGCTATGACAAGAGCACGAAGTCTTGCTCTAGTAGAGCTGAGCCTGCCATCAGGCCGAGCCAGTTCCAACTCCCAATTTTATATATAATCTCTCTAGTCATGTTCCACCAGACTTAAAATGACACCTACAATGTCATAAACTTGTGTGACAGCTTTTGTTATGCTCCTCAGATCTGAGGATGAGCACGTCCTGATTCCCTTCAACTAGCCCTAGGGTTAAG